CAGAAAGGGTAAGTTGAGGCAGAGTAAGAGGAGCCCCTGGGGAAAACAGACATACTTCTCTACCCTCTCTATCCCGGCCACAGCCCATTGGACTGGGCCAAGTTCTCCGTTCACAAAAACATACCTCGCAAAATCTCCCCACACCTGCTGCATGGAGCCAAAGGATGCAGAGGACAGAACTTCCCCACTTAATCGAGCCCAAGTTGGCCGTGCAGGGGAATCTGGAGGGGCTGGACTGGACCTAGACAGACCATCCTGCACAGTGGTTAAAATCAGGGCCTCGGAAGTCAGTCTCACAACTGACTGATTAACTAGCTCCCTTAGACAACTTATTAAACCTCTCTGCTCAGTTTCCTCATGAGTCAAATGGAGTACAGGCAGTCTGTAAATGATGGCACATTCGAGTGGACGAACAGCACTTAGGCCTTTTTTTGCCTTTGTTTTTTGGCTTGCCTAATGTGCATATAAACAGAGAAGCAGGAAGCGCCAATGTTGAAGTTCTAAGTTTATACGTTTATATGTAATGTTTCCAACTCCCAAAGACACATAAAGATCAAATTTATAAAAATATTGATAATAAAAGGCAATAATAATAAAAATTTTTTAAAAAGAGGTATTTGATGTATGTCAGAATTGACTTTGATGGAGTGGTCAGAATGGAACCCCATCATAAGTCAGGGACTACCTGCACTCACCCCTCAAAGGGTGATTATGAGCGTCCAGTAAGAATTCACATGGAGCTCTGTAAACAAGTACTAGAGAACTTAGCAGCTGCCGCCACTCTTCTTGTTAATGACCCCATCATTCCAAAGATGGAAAAGCAGAGGCCTAGAATGAGCTGCCCACGGTCTGAATGCCAGTTAACAGCAAAAAGCCTGCCCGCTCTAAGGCCACTGCTCCATAGGGGGAAACTGCAGCCCATAGGTCACCTGGGTGGCAAGTGGCCATCCCGGATCTGCCTGTGCTCTTTCCACACTAGTGCACTGTCTCACGCACAGGAAGGGTACACTCTCCTCATCAGGGTCATGTTTACGTACCAAAGAACACCTCCTGTTACTACAAGCGACGGTCACTGATACACGTATCATCGTCTGCCCCACTGCCAGCAACAGCCTCTCATCCCCTGCATTCCTCCTCCACCCCTAGAGTTTTGCATCAGCTCAGAGAGCTGCTTCTTAGAACATTACACAGTCATGACTCACTCTAGCCCATGTCCACCCCTGCCATCAGTCACCGCGGTGATGTGACACACACAGAATTCTGAGACAGAGAGCTGCAGCTAGAGTATCACAGCTGGAAAATGTCCCATTTAATCACCTATATCCTTAAAAACAAGGAGCCCTGGTGGTGCAGAGGTCAAAGCACTAGGCTGCTAACCAAAAGGTCAGTGGTTCTAACCCACCAGCTGCTCTGCAGGAGAAAGATGTGGCAGTCTCTTTCCATAAAGATTACAGCCTTAGGAACCCTACGGGGCAGTTCTACTGTGCCCCATAGGGTCGTTATGAGTCAGAATCGACTTCACAGCAATGGATATGTGTGCAGTATCCTTAAAAATTAAGCATTTGGGTAAAATTTGGGCACACCTTCCAAGCTAAGAAGAAAGCTCAGAGCAGCAAATACGTGGATGCTTCTTTGGTGAAAGAATGCCAAAGGTCTTAACAGTTGCCTGGTTAACTCAAACGGCCCTGCCTTGGATCTGACCCCTATAGGGTGTGGCCCGTGAAAATGTCAAAGTCCTACAGGCCAATTCCACCCAGCAAAAAGACCACTCAACTCTGGGGTCCACGGCAGCACTCCAGTGGGAACCCTGGCTCCTTCCAAAGACTCCAGACAGCAGCAGATCCTCCTCACACCCCAGAGTCCTAAGTCTGGACTTCTAAACCATCATTCTGCCCACGGCTCGGCAACATTTCAGCAGGACCTCCATTCAGCCCTCTGCCTCCCTGTTGTGCAGACTCAGGTCCGAGCCACTCACTTCTACCTGTGTGACCCCAGGGAAATGACTTATTCCTTCAGCTTACCTTACCTGTAAAATGGGACACTGTGAAGCTTAATGAGTGTACATGTTAAAATACCCAGCATGAGCCTCCAGCCTCAGCTCCTGCTGTTTCCTATATCCCAGATACCATTACGTCAAACACAAACACTACCCTTTCTTTAATACCCTAGCCCCAAAGTCTTCCCTGCTAAGTAGAGGCCACACTTGGCATTCTGCCACCAATTCATTGTGTATCTTTGGGCAAGTCCCTCACCTTCCCTTGCCTCACTTTCCCCATCTGTAAGATCCCTTGCTGCCTTGGCATTCTGAATGTGCCAAAGTGTCCTATGTCACTTCTGTAACTGCCACTTTTTTCTGCCCAGGTCAACATTTGCTACTGCCAGACTGTCCTGGAGCTGCAAGGGGGGTGCACTAGCCCCGAGGGTTGGAGGCAGGTCCAGGGCTAGCACAGCCCTGAGTGCGTCCACAGAACTGGTGATTTCCCAACCCTGGTGGAGGGTATGAGATGAGGTGGTGGGAACGGGTGTGACTGCAGTGCCTGAGAGCTCAACTGTGGGAAGGACTCTCCACCACGAGGCAGCACAGCAGACATGCTGCTGGAGGAGAGCAGGTTGCCCCCTGCACAGGACCCTGACCCCAAGCTCTTTGTCTCCTGCTGCCCAGAAGCTGCTTTGCCAGGGGAGATGAGGAAGACAGGAGTGAGCATGCAGGGCAGCCCTCCAGAAGTCCGGCCTAAGTCGCTCTGGGCAAACATTCTCTGCCTCATCCCTTCACAAAGTGGCCAAGCATTCCGGAGGCCATGTTGGTGGCCACAAAACTGCTTTCCATGAACAGGAGGAACGCTAGGCAGAGACTCTCCTGGAGACAGAACCTGGATTCAACCCCAGATTCTTCAACACCCCATCCCACGCAGTCTCCACGGCCCTATGAGCACATGTTCGTTCCAGGCCTAGCACATACCAGGTGCTCCATAAATGTCTCTTCTTTCCTTTCCTTCTGTCTCTAATTTAAGAACAAGTGCTCAAAGATGTAAACACACACAAAACAACCCAGTGCCAACAACAACAAAAAACACCACCATCACCACCACCACCAGCAAGGCCACAGAAAGAGGCATCTGCATCTTGAATCCTGAGAGATACAGGGCACCAATTCAACGGGTCTCAAAATTCTGGGCAGCTCCAAACCTGGCCATCCTACCCTACTCGTATCTCTGCCCTGTGCAGGGTCAGAGGTTGCCAACCAACACAGCTGCTCTTCTGTCCCTCGACTGTCCTCCCAAGCCAGAAGAACCCACATAAGGGAATCTTCCCCTGCTCCCGTCTCCCTACCACCCTGCCACATCTTGGGCCTGTCCAAGACGAATGCTGTCTGGTAACCACTCACTTCCTAAAGACTCCCGGAGCATTATCCTGGAGTAGACAGGCCCCCAGGAAGCTGCACATCAGCTACGTTCTCCTGGGCCCTGTACACTTCTTTGACAGGGTTTTGTCATCAAGGTCAACGGGAAAACAGACACAGGACAACAGCCTCCATATTTCATGTAAACCTGCTACATTTCTTTATGCTTCTTTCAGCTCCCAAACAAAGATTTCTGGGTACTTGGCCAGAAATACTTTTGTCCTCACTAATAATCTGGTCTGCTCCCTTCGACTAGGCAATGAAAGCAAGGTGGCCCAGCCTGCTTTTCATTTTGCCCAGGCTGCTAAGAAGCGTCAAGTTAAGTTTTATGTCTCAAACGATGTATCTTTCTTCAGTCAGAAATTCCTGACAGAATTTTTCCCTCATATAGGTTGGGTTGTGGATATTTCTACATACATAAGTAGGTGCTGCATGTATATTAATATAGACAATAGAGCACGCAAGGCACACAGTCATGGAAGCTTCTTAGACAGAACCAAATACCTTGTGGGTCTAGGCTCGAAGGCAAAGACCACAGACTTGGGGGACATCTACATCAAGTGGCACAATATAGTTCATAAAAAGAGCGTTTCACATCCTACTTTGGTGAGTAGTGTCTGGCGTCTTAAAAGCTTGAGAGCGGCCATCTAAGACATAACTGTTGGTCTCCTCCCATCCGAAGACAGGAGAGTGAAGAAAACCAAAGACTCTCAAGGGAGCAATTAGTCCAAAGGACTAATGGACCGCATGAACCACAGCCTACATGACCCTGAGACCAGAAAAACTAGATGGTGCCTGGCTACCACTACTGACCACTCTGAATAAAATCACAACAGAGACTACCAGATAGAGTGGAAGAAAAATGTAGAACAAAAAAATCAAATTCACAAAAAAGACCAGATAAACTGGTGACAGAGACTGGAGGGACCCCCGAGACTATGGCCCTAAGACACACTTCTGACCTGGAACTGAAGCCATTCCCGGAGACCACCTTTCAGCCAAAAAGTTGACAGGTCCATAAAATAAACAACACCTGAGAAGAACATATTCCTTAGAACAATCAATTATATGAGATTAAAAGGACAACATTTGCCCAAAAGCAAAGATGAGAAGGCAGGAAGAGGCAGCAAACCTGGACAAAAGAAAACAGGGAACCCAAGGCGGAAATGGGGAGAGTGCTGACACACATTGTGGGGGATGCAACTGATGTCATGGAACACTTTAGGTACAAATTATCGAAAGGGAAACTAATTTGCTCTGCAAACTTTCACCTAAAGCACAATAAAATATTAAAAAACAAACCAAAAAAGAATTTTTCACTCTTCTCCCCATTTACTTCTTGGTCTCTTATCTTCGGCTAACCACATTTGGTACCCTTGTGTCTGGACTTTCACTGTGCCCTGTCAGCTTCTTCCTGAGGTAGCTGAAACATGAACTGATAAATACACTGTGATGAAGATTTAACACCACACTGCTCCTGAACCACCACTCTGAAAGCACAACCCCCACCCCCAACTATGGCTAGCTGTGCGCCCAGGAGCAACCTCTCTCTCTGCCTCTCTGTCGAGGAGCAAGTCCCTGTGCCAACAACTCCGCTTACCTGTCATGATCCTCTGGGCTTCATAGGGTTCCATGTAGCCAGCACTCTCCCCTTTCCCCACTTTGTTCTTGAGATCATTCTTGGCATCAAAGGGATCCGAGTAGTCATCGGCTATGGTCACCTGAGGAGAGGGGGATGGGGTGTTAGTCCACCTTGGCTTGTCTGTTTCACTTTTGTTCACAGCCATGCTTTGATCCAGCAAACACAAACTGAGCACCAACAGTATGCCCAGCCAGGGCTGGTTGAGTAAGGAGAGGTAGTGAAGGCAGGAACCAAGCCCAGTGCCTGCCCTCAGGGGGCTTGCACCTCAGGGAGGTGACAAGTGGGACTCACACTGGCTGGCAATGCTCTACCTCAAAAGAAGAGCCTGAGCCTGTGCGTGGAGGGGGGCCACTCCAGGTACAATGACAGGGACAGTGACACGGGCCCTGGGAAAGGCATGCGGGCAGAGGTAACAACTGCCGAAGCAGCACAGAGGCAAGAGCCTGGGGCAGGGGGGTGTTTGGGAATGTAACTTGCTCAGCTTAATGCAATGAAAATGGAGGAAAGTTGGAAACAAGAGCGCAGAAAGCCTGGAAATGCTGACATGCTCGTGGTGCTGGCTGAGGCACAGAAGAGCTTGTCTCGAGATAATTGCGCTCCGTGTTCCATTTCCCCAAAATCTGGAACACAACCACGCCTTGAGTAATCAGACAACAATTTGGTGAGATGAATGCACTGTAATGAGGACTGTGGTTCCAGACAGGCTGAATGAAAACACAAAAGCAGCTCAGGGGTGGACAGCAAACCACCAGGACCAGAAAGGGCCTTGGAAGCAATAAATCTGAAGAACCTTCTACAACACATGGGGAAACTGAGGTCCAGAGGGGCAGGGGCAGGACTATCAGCCAAATCCTCTGCCTCCCACTTGTTTGTATTCCAGAACCCAGCCCACCTGGAAGAAGTTCCATACAACAAAGAGATTCTCTGAGAGGGGAGTCTCACGAGAAATGAGAATCTGGGATGCTAAGACGCTGGAGACAAAAGTTTCACATTTTTCCCTCGAGAAGCATAAAACTTCTCAGAGGCTAAGGTAAACGTTGGCAGCTTTTCCTCCATTTTTTACTTCCTAGCCTTTATTAGGAGTTCCTGGGTGGTGCAAATAATCAATGTGCTCAGCTGCTTAACTCGAAGGTTAGAGGTTCGAGTTTACCCGAGGAGCCACCGAAGAAAGGTCTGGCAACCTACTTCTTAAAAATCCCACTGGAAACACTATGGAGTATAGCTCTACACATGGGGTCACCATGAGTTGGAATCAACTCAATGGCAACTGGTGGTAACCTTTATTAGGGGTGCATTTGCCGGGGGTGGGGGAGCGGCAAGGACATGAACCTACCAACCTCACTCACCCACAACGCACCCTAGGCTCCACCACAACCTTGCAGTGTGACTTCCGTTATCTGCCCTCTTGGGTCACACATCTGGCAGAGGGGAAGTCCTCAGCCTCCCAGCCAGGGCCACCCAGCAGCCTCTCATGGGAGGGGGTAGGTTAGCAAGTCTTTCAACCCTTCAGGTTACATGAATTGTTATTTAAATAGCGACTTTAATTAGAAACCACAGGAACCTCATTCCCTGCTTTGTTCTTGAGGTCATTCCTGGCATCAAAGGGATCCCAAGTAGTCATCGGCTACTGGAATGGCTACTGGAATGTGAGGCATTGAGGGGCCAGTAAACCCAGGGGAAGGGAAAATCCCCCTTTGTTTGTCTGGTAATGGCAGCTTCTGGCAGCAGCCCTGGCAGAGTGACCTCGGAGACAGCCCGCCTCCAGCTGCCGGGAACATTATGCCCGTGGAAGGGCGGTGGGCAACAGCTCTGTCACTGGCGTGTGGCCAGGGGCTGAGGAGGGGTATGGCACGCAGTGGTCACTGCTCCCAAACAAGAGCAAACTAATCAGTGAAGACCACGCCTCAAGCGCCCACCACTTGAACCACTGCAGCCCTGCTGCCAGTACACAGAGGGACGGCCAGTAAGTCTCAGCGGGGACCACTTCCAGACGCTGACATTGTAATCATGGCCTTTCTAGAGACTCACTCAGCTCAAATGACACCAGGCAGAAGGAAGAAGGCGGGGGTTGCTGGGCCTGAAAATGTCTTTCATTTGATATTTCTACTCTACCATTTGCAGAACACATTAGGGAGAAAATTATACACGTGAACCACTGTTAAACAGAACAGCTCTGATGCCGATCTAATGTAAGGTCTGGGTTTAGGGGCTCAGAGTTCAGGGGACCGAAAGTCCAAATGGACAAAAATTACGGACTTGCTGGAAGACAGCTAGTCTAATTTCTCTTGTCCTGACCTTCATTTCTGTCTGTTTTCAACATGAACATCCTCCATCTATTCTGTGATGAGAACGGGAACAAATATTTTCCCAAGAAAACAAAATCATTTTCAGGGATTGGATGGGGAGTGGGGAGGGTGAGAGACAGAGGCAGGGCTGCAGTCTCCCTAATCTAGAAATCGACATTCCAGCCCCTCTCTGAAGTGCTCTGTAATTTGCAAACATGGAGGCTTGCAGGATATAAACCAAATCTCTGTTCGCCCTGGGACAGGAGCTCTGGGAGGCCTGCGATTCAGCAGGCGCTATCTATATTTTCTAATTAAAATGCGATCTGAGCCTGGGCTGTCACAGGGCCTCCAGCTGCCTGCCCTGCTTACTTCCGTTTCAATAAGAATTTACAAATCCTAAAACCAGGAAACGCCCCTGGTCTCTGCTGACATATGGTTCCAGTTATACCTGCTGACAGTTGAAAATCCTTCTGTTTGAAAAAAAAAAAAAAAAAAGTTCAGAATTTTGTTCATTTAAGAAGCAAATCAAAAGGTTCCTAAAATGTATATTTAATCAATTTGGTTTTAAACTTCAAAGTGAGGTGGGTGGAGGGGAGGGAATAGGAGGTTTGAGCAACCTGAAACTCAGCAAACACTACACCCAACTGTCTGACCTTTCACAAAATCATGTTGTCGTTTTGGGAGCAAAAATTTAACCAGGCTTCAGGAGAGACGAGTGGGCAGTCAACCAGATGCCACAGGCACCAACCCAAGGACTGCGCGGTGTGGCTGTGTGGCTGCAGCGCACACTGTCAGGGCTCACTCTAAAACAGGACAGACGGCCAGGAGCTTGCGTGAAGGCAGTTGCTCTGTTGCGTTTACAAAAAAAAAAAAAAGTGGGCTTGGAGTCCTGCTGGGATCACTTCTGCTTTGCTTTAAAATGCCCCAGTTAACGGACAAGTCCCTAAAATCTAATTGCACAATTCGACCAGAAGGGAGCCAGCCGAGACTTCTCTGCAGGTCAGACCACCTGGGATCGCAAAAAGCTTTCCTTTGAGTTTGATCTTAGATTGGCCAGGACCTGACAGCACATCCGACCTCTCACGAGGCTTATTCACAGTCACACAGGGCAAGGTGGAGCAGCAGCAGAAAGGTGGGCTGTTGGAGGGTGGCCGCCTAGCCAGAAGACCCCATCTTTTGCATTCTCAGCTCCTCGGATGAGTGCACTGGCCTATCTCTGGGAAAGGGGCAGAGTTGCGGCAAAACCCCAGACAAGGCCTTTTCTTGCTTTCAAACTAAACTAGAGAACCCAGGTCAGCCCAATGCCCCAACGGACTTTCACAGGTTCACAGAGCAGCAAAGCTGGGAGTCCTTGGCAGACTGGTTCCAACCCCCCTTGTTTTATACATGGCCCACTGCAGCTCTAGGACCTTGTCCACAGGTGCCCAGTAAGCCAGTAACAGAGCCTCCAAGGCCAGTCCTCACCTTCTAACTCCCAGGCTGGGGTTCTACAATTCCATTGTACCGACCGCCTCTCTGACATGGTTCTTTGAGTTGGTGACAGAGTCGGTGCTACATACTTTCCTTCTGTTACACACATGCTGCTGGAGGGAAAAAGTCCCTTCCAGCAGTCTGATGTCCTGGTGTTTCTGTCTTAGGAATTTAGCTTTGTGATAGAAAGTAGCCTTCCTATTCATCCCCCAAAGGAAGTACTAGAGGAATGATGGTTGTCCCACTCAGCCACGCTTCTGTACGTACCAGTCGTACGCTGTGTGGAGAACTGGGTCCTCTCTCCATGCTCTCTGTGGAAATGTAAGCTGGCAGAGCCACTGTGAAGGGTAACTTTCGGCAGAATCCATTAAAATCCAAAAATGCACATAGCTTACTTTGGACATGTTATCAGGAGGGATCAATCCCTGGAGAAGGACATCACACTTGGTAGAGGGTCAGCCAGAAGGATTGACACAGTGGCCGCAATAATGAGCTCTAACATAGCAAGGACTGTGAGGATGGCACAAGACCCGAGCAACGTTTTGTAACTGACTCAACGGCACCTAATAACAACAAAAATTTTACTTCACTCCAAAGGTGTACAAGGAGACACGGCCAGGGATGCTCACTGAAGCAAGAAATGAGGAAATATTGCAAGCAACTGCTATATCAATCAATAGGGGAATTGCTAAATAAACCATGCCGGTTCCATACCAAGAATATTATGTAGCAGGTTAACAAAAACAACAACAACAAAAAAAGACACAGCTGCTCTAATATGTACTCACATTGTTCTCCAAGACACATTTTTGAATGGAAAAAAAGCAAGTTGTAGAATGAGAAATACAACTAGATGTCCATTTATGAAACACAAGACAGACACCTTATAGCTCTATGTAAATAAAGAAAAGGCCTGGGAAGATATCCACCCCAAACTGGCATCTTCGGGGGTGGCGGGAGATGACATGGGACGGGGACGGGGACTGGATTGGTTTGGGGAATCAAAGGAGACCTATCTTTAATGTCAAAACATTTTTTTAATATCATCTCACCCAAACAAGGCTAGCATTAATCCAAAAAACACAGAATAATAAATGCTGGAGAGGTCGTGGAGAGACTGGAACACTTATACACTGTTGGTGGGAATGTAAAATGGTACAACCACTTTTCAAATCGATTTGGTGTTTCCTTAAAAAGCTAGAAATAGAAGTACCATACGATCCAGCTATCCCGCTCCTTGGAATATATCCTAGAGAAATAAGAGCCGTCACACGAAGATATATGCACACCCATGTTCATTGCAG